AGTTAAGTTTAGGTAATTGCAAAGAAAAAAAAAAAAAAAGAGAGTCGTTATCCCGGGGAAATGCGAAAAATCGCGTGGTTGCGTAGTTTTTGTGGTATAGAAGCGTGATATAGAAGCGAGATTTAATAAGGAAACGTGTATTTAAAGAAAGTCATAACAACAATAATGGATTTATTATTTATTATTATTGCCATCTCGTTAGAATATCTTCCTTCGATTCAGAGAAATTAGAATAGAATCGAGTCTTCCAATGATCGAAGACGAAGACTCTTCCCGACCATCTCCATAAGAAAAAAAAAAAAAAAAAGAAAAGAACTGTTGCTCGTCTCGAAATCGAAGCTGAGAGAGAAAGAAAGGAAGGAAGGAAGGAAGGAAGAAAAAGAGAGTGATTGGAAAAGGGAATAATCGAGGGTCAGGCGGCCGTTAAAAATGGCCGCGCGCAAAGTGCAGAGAGCGTGCAATGGTAAACGGGGTGGAGGATCGTGCAAATACGAGGGGGGAGGGGAGAGAGTCGTTAGGTGCCCGGGGCCAGGGCCGCCATATTTTATTACTTAAACGGCATGCCGGGTAGGTTGTTTGTTGGTTAAACAAGGAATTAATGCCGCGGTAATCTGTCATTATGGGATACTCGTGCAGGAGGACCGACCCCGTAGTTGCTCTCTTCTTCGATCCTCCTCCTCCTCCTCCCTTCTCCCTCTCGCCAATTGATCCGGCTCTCTCGTTAACCCTCTCTCTGTTTTGCTCTGCTCCGCATAATTTCCAATTGGTTCCCTCGAAAAGGAGAGAGAGGATCGAACACGCACGCACGAAGCGTGTCATTCGAGAGAGGAACGATCCATCATCGAAAATGCCAACTGAATGAATAATAGACGAATCAATGTTCCGGATTCTAACCTCGGCATTTTCGCAATATGGCGTATCACTTCCGCTAACTTTCCGATCGATCTCACTGCGGATGCTAACGGAATTGCTACCTTTTTACCCGTCCTCGGTCAATTTCTTCTCCCTTTCTCTCTGCTTGGATGGATGGAACTTGTTGAAACTTGATGGCAATGACAATTATTCGATAATTAAATATTTCTCTTGAATATATATCCTCGAGATCATTCGTGTCGGACAAATTTTCTAACTTATCGATAATTGTATCATTGATGAACGAAGAGGATTTTAGATGATGGTAGAAAAAAGTGTATCGAGCAATATGAGAAACGAGGAAAGGACGATCAGTTTCAATTGTTTGACCGAATAAAAATTCCCGAATAAACGGAGCATGTAAAGTGTACTTTCGCAACAAGCGAAAGCGCATTGTCGGTGCGCATCGTCGACAGGGAATTGAATAACGCGTGAAGAGGCTGTGGTACGCGTATATGTACACACACACATATATGAAATGGATAGCCGATTATTATCGCGATACAACAGCCGTGGAGAAGTCTGATGATAATTGGCGGGAGGAAGCGTAATCACGGCGTTAACACCGCTTTCGACAAATACCACCGTTTCGTATCGTGGCTTTCGCATCGATCCTTTCGCTCGCGGATTTGTGATTCATTCATCGTCGATCGATTCTTTTCACCGCTCCTTCCCTTCGACTCGATCACTGTAATTCCACCGTTATAACCACGCCATCTAAGCTCTCGATCCAAGAAAATTTGAAGAGAGAGAGAAGGCTTGGAGAAACAGTTTTAGAAGTTTTGGCACCGCGATCACGATGTTTAAGATTCCTTAAGTACGTACACATGTCGAACCGGGTCTAAGTGGCGGCGGTGAGTGTGTTTACTTGTACACGGACACGGGGGTGAGACGGTGTTGGGGGAAGAATGATGTGTGGTGAACGAGAGATTTAGACCGTTGAGAGGGGGAGACTCTCTGGAGAGGCTCGAGTTCTCTGTGGCGCAAAGTGCTTGAAAAGATTCGTCTTTACTTATCGTTACTTATCTCCTCGCCATTGATTTATCGCCGCGGCTCCATTAATCCAAGAACTCGTGATATATTTAGAGATGGATTGGACGATACGAGGCGGGATTCCCTCAAATTCTATATTTTCCTAACAACGTTCGAAGAAAAAATTCGTTACAAATATCCCAATTTCAAACTCGATCAAACGGAATTCGTGAAGAATTATTAAAAAATTAATTAAACCTCTCACGGTATTTTTCAAAACTTCTTTGCATACGAGTGTCGGTGAAAACAGGAGAGGAGACGTGTTGGAAATCGATTAAGACGGTCGTTAAGACGAGGATGTTTTTTTCGACAAGTATTTTTCGAACAAAAATCGGTGTCCATCGGTCTGGAACAGGAGACGTGGCTCGTTGGAAACGTCACCAAAAATAATGGTTCACGAGGGGCCGAGGGCGATACCCCATCGAGGCTAATTGCAGCGAACAACCGTGCAGCACACGGCTGCCCCCTAAATGCAGGAAATAATGCATTTCGTGAGCCAGTCAATCGGTCATCTTATTACCAACGGGGAGACGATGAGCGGGTATGACGAAGGTGGCCGGATCATCGGGACCAGACAATTTAATTGTTCGAACTTAAACGGGGAGCAGCTGCCTCCTGGTGGCCTAACAAGCTGGTAATAACCTGCCTCCTAACCTCTTCCTCTCTTTGTCCGATCCTCTCCACCTTCTTCGTGGATCCTCGTTCGGAGGAGGCACGGTTGGAGGAAGGGTATTATAAACGTTCAAGGTTATTTGTTTCGAAAACGAATTCATCGACGAATATTATTTTTTCTGAAACAGGTCTTTTGTTTTTTTTGGTAAATTTTCGATTGTTGAGATTAGAAGTTAGAAGGGGAAGGGAGAAATTTTTCGATTCTTAAATTTTACGTACGAATAATTGGTCTCGGTTCGATCGATCGAATTGTAAAAAAATTTAAAATCGAGTTGGAGCAAATGGGGATTTTTTAAACGTCGTGGAGAAATTG